CCATCATCTACTGCCTCCCAGGCCCACTAGTAGGAAGCTGGATCAGAAGCAGAGGCCGACTTTAATCCCAGGTACTGCTGTTTACCAGTGCCGGAGGCTAGGGTGGTTGTAGGAGCGAGTTTCATGGGTCCTTTTCCTCAGCTTAGTATAGGCATAAAAAGCCGGGAAACAATTTGCAAAGAGGCAGAAACTTTTACTTGATAGGAAAGCATCTGGTCAAAAAGGAGACCAGGCGGAGTGCCCGAGGCTTGGAGGTCTCCCGGAGATAGCCTGACTCTCCCTCGGGACTCAGCCCCTTCCTCTGCCAGCTGGATTGCAAACTGGATTGCAACCAACCTGAAGGCCTGACTGAAAACTGCAAGGTCACACATGCAGCACAGGAAGCTGTTAGTGGGAGAGAGGCCTGCCAGTCTGGAGACAGGCTTTCCAGCCACAGCTGGCAGCCTGCTTGTGCAGGACATTCTGTCTATGTCTGAGGGGCGCACAGACCTCCAACCCCACTGGATGGCCTCACTCCTGTATGGATTATGGACCTCCCAAGGGGTGACTTAACCCACTCTACCACAATGACTGCTCCTGGAACATATGTAAAATAGCTGATTTAATGTCTTTCTCTGGTAAGTCCAATACCTGGGCTACCTTAGGGTTGGTTTTTATTAACTACTCTTTTTCCATCTTATGTCATACTATTTTTGTCTTACGTTCAATCAAATGTGTTTATAAAATAAATTGATAAATGATAAATCACAAATGATGAGAACTTTCACTTTCAGCAGAAAATGAGAAGTTTCCAGAACAATGGCTGTTTGAACATAAATGTGATTGAGGAATTCAGAATTAGCCTATGAATATTTTTAACAAAGGTGGTGTTTTGGAGCTACTGTGAAATCTAGGAACTATTCATGAAAGTAAACATACGGGGGCTGCTGGTGTGGTGCAGTGGAGTAAGCTGCTACTTGTGACGCTGGCAACCTATTTTAGAGCATCAGTTTGAGTCCTGGCTGCTCCAGTTCTGATCCAGCTCTCTGCTAATGTGCTTGGGAAGGCAGCAGAAGATGGCCCAAATGCTTGGACCTCTGCCACCCATGTGGTAGATCAGGATGGAATTCCTGGCTTCTGACTTCTACCTAGCCCAGCCCTTGCTGTTGCGACCATTTGAAGAGTGAACCAGCAGAAGGAAGATTTGTCTCTCTGTCTCTCCACCTTTAAAAATAAGAAAATAAATCCTCCACCTTGCGGCGCCAGCACACCGGGTTCTAGTCCCGGTCGGGGAACTGGATTCTGTCCCGGTTGCCCCTCTTCCAGGCCAGCTCTCTGCTGTGGCCCGGGAGTGCAGTGGAGGATGGCCTAAGTGCTTGGGCCCTGCACCCCATGGGAGACCAGGAGAAGTACCTGGCTTCTGCTATCAGATCAGCGTGGTGCGCCGGCTGCGGCGGCCATTGGAGGGTGAACCAACTGCAAAGGAAGACCTTTCTCTCTGTCTCTCTCTCGCTGTCCACGCTGCCTGTCCAAAAAAAGAAAAAAAAATAATCTTAAAAAAAATAAGAAAGTATGGGGCTGTCGCTATGGCATAGTGGATAAGGCTGCTGCCTACAGTCCCAACATCCCATGTGGGTGCCAGTTGAGTCCTGGCTGCTCCACTTCCAATCCAGCTCTTTGCTGTGGCCTGGGAAAGCAGTAGAAGATGGCCCAAGTTCTTGGGCTCCTGCACCCATGTGGGAAACCCCAAAAAAACTCCCAGCTCCCGGCTTTGGATGGGCCCAGCTCCGGCCGTTGCACCCACTTGGGGAGTGAACCAGCGGATGGAAGATCTCTCTCTTTTTCTCTCTCTGCCTCTGCCTCTCTGTAACTCTGACTTTCACAGAAATAAATACATCTTTAAACAAAAGATAAAAAAGTAAAAATGGTAGTTGAGTACTATGTGTATATAGTAGTTAGATGAAACTAATTTAGAAATTAATTTTCTTCCAAATTTTGATTTAAAACCTATTTTACTTATTTGTAATTCTTTTTGACACTTCTTTTTCTTTCTTTTTTTTTTTTTTAAGATTTATTTATTTATATGAAAGGCAGAGTTACAGGGAGAGAAGGAGAGACAGAGATCTTCCATCTTCTGGTTCACTACCCAAATGGCTGCAACGACCAGGGCTGGGCCAGGCCAAAGCCAGGAGTCAGGAGCTTCTTCTGGGTCCCCAACATGGGTGAAGGAGCCCAAGGACTTGGGCCATCTTCCATTGCTTTCCTAGGCACATTAGCAGGGAGCTAGATTGGAAGTGGAGCAGCCAGTACTCCAACTGGCGCCCGTATGGGATTCTGGTGTTGCAGGCCATGGCTTTAACCCTCTGGTCCACAGCCCCAGCCCCGATACTTTATTTCCTAATTGCCAGTTGAAAAAGGTAGATAGAGTTTGTGTACATTTTGAATGCCAGTACTTTATTATTAAACTGGCTTTATTCACGAGTAAACTAGATTTACTTATAAATAAAGCTAGGCTAAGTAGTTCTTATATGTTAACAGTTACAAAATGACAGGAATCAACTTTCTGTTGTCTGTACCCAGAGGAGACCATACACACAAAAAAAGCTAAAACTTACAGAGGGACAAATGACTAAGCTATTTGAGTAAGGAAGTCTATGATTTCCCTGCATTTTCATGGTAAACGGGGCCAAGATTGGACTTCAAGGAAGTCTCTACTGTGTTTTCTAAAACAAAGCAAATGGACTCTTGGAGAAGGCAGTGGGGCAGGGAATTGTAACAGGTGACTTTACCTTCTTCTGTTCTATCTTACACTTTATAAGAAGATTATACTCATATACCAAGTTGGTAACTAAAAAACAGCTTAGCAAAAAGAGACTTAAAGATGTGTGACAGACATTGCAGTGCAGCAAGTTAAACTGCTGCTTACAATACCCGCACCCCACATTGGATCGCTGGTTCAAGTCCTGCCTCCTCTGCTTCACATGCAGCTGCTTACAAATGTGCCTGGGAAGGCGGAAGATGATGACCCAAGTACTCACATCCCTGTTACCCACATGGGAGACCCAGCTAGAGTTCTGGGCTCCTGGCTTCAACTTGCCCAGTCCTGGTTGTTGCAGGCATTTGGGGAATGAGCCAGCAGATTGGTGATCTCTCTCTGTCACTCAGCCTTTCAAATGAAACAAACATTTAAGTATTCTTAAGAAACTTGGACTTTATCAACAACTTCTTTCATTTAATAAAAAAATGAATCTTGTTCCCTTTCTAAAATAAGACAGGATGGTCCTCTAGTGTTTCTTGTTCCAGGGCCTGCCCTAGTGTTCTTGAGTATCTACAAATTCTGAGAGAAATTTAAAATACTGAGTTTTGTTTTTTTTTAAACATAGATTTATTTTATTTATTTGAAAGGCAGAGTTAAGGAGAGGGAGAGGGAGAGGGAGAGGGAGAGGGAGAGGGAGAGGGAGAGGGGGAGGGGGAAGGGGAGGGAGAATCTTCATCTGCTGGTTCATTCCCCAGTGGCTGCAATGGCAGGGCCTGGGCTAGGCCTGGCCAAAGCCAGGAGCCACAAACTTCATCCAGGTCTCCTACATGGGCGCAGGGTCCCATGGGCTTGGACCATCTTCAGTTGATTTCCCAGGTGGAAGCAGAGCAGCTGGGACTTGAACCAGCAACCTTATGGGATGCTGGCATTGTAGGCAGCAGCTTAACCCACTATGCCACAATGCCGGCCCCCAAATCCTGAGTTTTTAAGTGCAATTATGGTTTAAGAAATTGTTCTAATACTTAAGACTAGAGGCTGGCACAGTGGCTCACTTGGTTAATCCTCCATCTGCGGACTGGCAACCCATATGGGCGCTGGTTCTAGTCCTGGTTGCTCCTCTTCCAGTCCAGCTCTGCTGTGGCCTGGGAGGGTAGTGGAGGATGGCCCATGTGCCTGGGCCCCTGTACCTGCATGGGAGACCAGGAGGAAGTACCTGGCTCCTGGCTTCAGATCGGTGCAGCACCGGCAGTAGCGGCCATTTGGGGGGTGAACCAATGGAAGGAAGACCTTTTTCTCTGTCTCTCTCTCTCACTGCCTGTAACTCTACCTGTCAAATAAATAAATAAAAATATTTTAAAAAATACTTAAGGCTAACTTTCTCTTATTTAGTGATAATTTACAATATCTTAGAACTTAAAGTTTAAGTAATAGTTTCCCAAACTGATTCTTGAATTTATGCTAAAGCACAAGTATGTTAAGGCACAGAGCATATGTTAAGAACAGGAACCCTGGGGGCTGGATTGTGGCACAAAAGGTTAAGCTGCTGCCCATGTTGCCAATGTTCCATTATGTTGCTTGAGAGTAGAACCCAGTCCTTACTGGGATATGTAGTAGGCAACATATGTGACTCTTGGATATTTTGTGTACTTTATTAACATTGCCTAAGCTAGTTTTTGGCTATTCTATAAGAAAAATATGATTATGCTTCTAAGTTCTATGTACAATCTGAAAATCCAATAAAAAATTTTTAAAAATTCCATTAAACCAGTTCTTTGAGACAAATTCTATTTAGAGGCTTAAAACAAACAAACAAACAAACAAACCAGGTGATGGTGGCCAGCACTGTGGCACAGTGGGTTAAGTGGTAGCCTGTGGTGCCAGCATCCCATGTAAGTGCCATTTTGATTTACAGCTATTCTACTTCCAATCCAACCCCCTGCTAAGGCACCTGGGAAAGCAGCAGCAGATGACCCAAGTCCCTAGGCCCCTGCACCCGTGTGGGAGACCCAGATTAATTTCCTGGCTCCTGGCTTTCGCCTGGCCCAGCCTTGGCCATTGTGGCCATTTGGGGGAGTTAACCAGTGGATTGAAGATCCTCTCTGTAACTCTGTCTTTCAAATAAATAAATAAATAAATCTTAAAAATTTTATTTTAAAATAGGTGATAATATATCTTTAAATGTAGATGTATTAGGATAATCGCTTACTTGACAGTAAGTTGCTCTGTATACCAAGTAAAACATTAACTTTTTGATTTTTTGCAGTAATAAGAAGGCTACCAGCACTTGTGAGATGGCAAAAGCAGCTTGCCAGGAAGATGAAGCTCCCTATTTTCATAGTAGATGCATTCACAGCGAAAGCATTTCGTGGAAATCCTGCTGCTGTTTGCCTTCTAGAAAATGTAAGTCTGGTTTTAAAGTGCAGAACCTAGTATTGTAGATTCCTATAGAGCCAGTCATTTCTTTCCTTTTTTTTTGGGGGGGGGGAGGGTAAAGATTTATTTATTTGAAAGGCAGAGTTAGAGAGAAAGAGAGGTGTCTTCTATCCAGTGATTCACTCTCCAGATGACTGCAATAACCAGGGCTTAGCCAGGCTGAAGCCAGGAGCCAGGAGCTTCCTCCAGGTCTTCCATGTGGGTGCAGGGGCCCAAGCACCTGGGCCGTCTTCCACTGCTTTCCCAGGCACATTAGCAGAGAGCTGGATCTGAAGTGGAACAGCCGGGACTGAAACCAGCCAGCGTCAAAGGCAGCAATTTTACCCACTATGCCACAATGCTGGCCCCTAACCAGTCATTTCCTAGGGGAAAAAAAAAAAACCTTTGGTTTATGTGACTTTTTATGGTATCAGTGTCTGCAAGTTGATTTTGACCAAATTATGTGATGAGAATTTTTACACCTAGGTTAAGTCCAGAGCAATGAAGACTCATATAAAGAGGAATTAAGAACCAATTAAAGAAAAAGTACTGGAGTTCCCTTTTAGCCATCAGGTTTTCATTTAGTAAGCACCAAATGTTGAGAATGAACTTAGATGAGTTTTATGTGACTAGACATGGCTGATATTGCATTCGACATAAGATTCTAGCTGGATATATTTAGCTTTATCTGGAGTTCAGACAGTTAGGAATTCTTTTCAAGAGCAAGGAAATGAGACATTTTGTAAGGAATTACATAGGAGGTAGAAGGGATTAAGCTGAAATATTCATGTATAGAGAATTTAGGTTACTGAAATTTTCATTTTAAATATGCTTTTTGATTATGATGATTTAATATTCCTTGATCTTTGGGACTTTGTGTTGGCCCGTGGGAAGTAGGAAACAGTGAGGTCCCCTTCCACTGAGAGCAGTTAGTATAGAGTAGTTTGAGAGTTTCTTGAGGGGACAGTAAGCAGTTGGGAATTTTAAAATAAGTCATATTAAACTGGGGGAAGTGTGCACTGGTAGCACTGGAGCTCAGAGAATCTCAGCTTGGCCTGCATACAAAACTCAGCTGAGGAGCCTTAGTGATCCAAACGCCCCTGGCACCGCAGACTACTTACAGCACACTCTCTGGGCCCCCACATTCTCCAAAGCTCCCCGCGTGGCTCCAGCGTGCAGTCAATGTGGGGAGCTGTCCAGGTGGCCCTCAAATAGGGGGACATTGTTAATCAAGTCTGTAAGACACTTCTTTGCACCCTCAATGAGTGGAGCAATAAAATGGCGATCGAGAGTCCTCATCGTGCTGTGATCTGGGCATTCATTATCTAACCTTGTAGCTGGCATTTTCCCTCCACTGAATGCAGCAGGTAATAAAGTTAATAGGCTTTTCCCAGTAACACAAGAGTCTGGGAAGATTAGTGAGAGAATAATTAACCAGAAGCCTTCTGGTAAACATAGCTTCCTGTCAAGGAGCCATGAAATTGAATGTAACTGCCTATCCAGAGACTTAGTGACTGGCCCCTGTGTCACCATTTAATAGCCTTGAAGAGTTTTGAGAATAGTTTTGAGTGATTTATATATTCAATTTTCTCCAGATAATAAGAATTGGCATTATTGCCCAACTTACTTCTGTCCTCTCTTGTACATTCCCTAAGCAGCAGGCTTAGAGGATCTATCTGGGGTGAGAGTTTGTTGCAGTAGTTAAGACACTGCTTGGCATGCTTGCATCCCATAGCTGAGTTCCGGCTCTGCTCCCAATCCAGCTTCCTTTTTTTTTTTTTTTTTTTAAGAAATATTTTAGGGCCGGTGCCGCAGCTCACTAGGCTAATCCTCTGCCTTGCGGTGCCGGCACACCAGATTCTGTCCCGGTTGCCCCTCTTCCAGGCCAGCTCTCTGCTGTGGCCAGGGAGTACAGTGGAGGATGGCCGAAGTGCTTGGGCCCTGCACCCCATGGGAGACCAGGATAAGTACCTGGCTCCTGCCATCAGATCAGCGTGGTGCGCCGGCTGCAGCATGCCGGCTGCGGCGGCCATTAGAGGGTGAACCAATGGCAAAGGAAGACCTTTCTCTGTCTCTCTCTCTCACTGTCCACTCTGCCTGTCAAAAAAAATATTTTATTTAATAAATATAAATTTCATAGGTACAACTTTTGGAATATAGCAGTTTTCCCCCACATACCTGTCCTCCCACTCCCAAACCATCCCACCTCCTGCTCCCTCCCATTCCATTCTTTTTTTTTTTTTTTTTAAGATTTATTTATTTATTTGAAAATCAGAGTTACACAGAGAGAGGAGAGGCAGAGAGAGAGAGAGAGAGAGAGAGAGGTCTTCCATCTGATAGTTCACTCCCTAGCTGGCCGCAATGGCTGGAGCTGCACTGATCCGAAGCCAGGAGCCAGGAGTTTCCTCCAGATCTCCCATGCGGGTGCAGGGGCCCAAGGACTTGGGCCATCTTCTACTGCTATCCCAGGTCACAGTAGAGAGCTGGACTGGAAGAGGAGCAGCCAGGACTAGAACCGGCGCCCATATGGGATGCTGGCGCCGCAGGCCAGGGCATTAACCCGCTGTGCCACAACACCAGCTCCAATCTCATCCCATTCTTCATTAAGATTAATTTTTAATTATCTTTATATATAGAAGATCAACTCTATAATAAGTAAAGATTTCAACAGTTTGCACCCACACAGACACACAAAGTATAAAGTACTGTTTGAAGGCAAGTTTTACTGTTAATTCTCATAGTACAACTCATTAAGGACAAAGGTCCTACATGTGGAGCAAGTGCACAGTGACTCCTGTTGTTCCAGCTTCCTATAATGTGCACTCTGGGAGACAGCAGATGATGGCTTAAGTACTTGGGTTTCTGCCGCCCACATGGGAGATCTGATTGAGTTCAGGCTCCTGGCTTCAACCTGACTCGGGCCCAGCTGTTGCAGGCATGTGGAGAGTGAACCAGCAAATGGGAGGGGAGATTTCTCATTCTCTTTGCCTTTCCAATAAATAATATCAATAAATAAAAAATTTAAAGATATATAAAAGAATCTATATATAATATACTTAAATATTTCTTTATTAAAATATACTTTATGGGACAGGCATTGTGGCAGAGTTTGTGATGCCTGCATCCCATATGGGAGTGCCTGGGTTTCAGTCCCACCTCTTTTTTTTTTTTTTTTTTTAATTTTTTGACAGGCAGAGTGGACAGTGAGAGTGAGAAAGAGAGACAAAGAGAAAGGTCTTCCTTTTGCCGTTGGTTCACCCTCCAATGGCCGCCACGGCTGGCACACTGCAGCCGGCGCACCACGCTGATCCGATGGCAGGAGCCAGGTGCTTCTCCTGGTCTCCCATGGGGTGCAGGGCCCAAGGACTTGGGCTATTCTCCACTGCACTCCCGGGCCACAGCAGAGAGCTGGCCTGGAAGAGGGGCAACCGGGACAGAATCCGGCGCCCCGACCGGGACTAGAACCTGGTGTGCCGGCGCCGCTAGGCGGAGGATTAGCCTAGTGAGCCTAAATTCACAAAGATTTATAAATTTCTTTTTATGTATTTGAAAGAGTGATAGAGAGAGATAATGACAGAGAGAAAGCGAGATCTTTCATCTGTTAGTTCACTTGCCAAATAGCTACAATGGCAGGGGCTGGGCCAGGCCAAAGTCAGGTACCAGGAACTGCATCTGGGTCTCCCACAAGAGTGGCAGGGCTGGCGCCGCGGCTCACTAGGCTAATCCTAATTAAATAATTAAATTATTTTATTATAATTAAATAATTAAAAGCGATATGCTTCAGTATGAATGGAAGAAGAAAAAAGAAAATGAGAAAGCTGCAATTTGGGGAAGCTCTCAGATAGTCTTTTTTTTCTTTTTAAAGATTTATTTATGGCCGGCGCCATGGCTCAATAGGCTAATCCACCTGCGGCGCTGGCACACCAGGTTCTAGTCCCGGTCAGGGAGCCGGTCCTGTCCTGGTTGCTCCTCTTCCTGTCCAGCTCTCTGCTGTGACCCGGGAGTACAGTGGAGGATGGCCCAAGTGCTTGGGCCCTGCACCTGCATGGGAGACCAGGAGAAGCACCTGGCTCCCGGCTTCGGATCAGTGCGGTGTGCTGGCCACAGCGCGCCGGCCGCAGCAGCCATTGAAGAGCAAACCAACAGAAAAGGAAGACCTTTCTCTCTGTCTCTCTCACTGTCCACTCTGCCTGTCAATAAGTAAATAAATAAATGAATAAAAAGATTTATTTATTTACTTGAAAGTCAGAGTTACACAGAGAGAGAAGGAGAGTCAGAGAGAGGAATAGGTCTTCCATGTGCTGGTTCACTCCCGAGTTGGCTGCAATAGCCAGAGCTGTGCTGATCCGAAGCCAGGAGTCAGGAGCTTCTTCTGGGCCTCCCATGAGGGTGCAGGGGCCCAAGGACTTGGGCCATCTTCTACTGCTTTTCCAGGCCACAGCAGAGAGCTGGATTGGAAGTGGAGCAGCCGATGCTCAATCCACATGGGATGCTGGCATGGCAGGTGGCAGCTTCACCTGCTACGCCACAGCGCCAGCCCCTCAGATAGTCTTCTAATTCTCTTCTTTTGGGCTTTGGGCCTGTGAGAGCTGGCTGATTTGGTGGTCTGTTAGGGCAACTTGCGTTGGAATCCAAAGATTATTTTGGCAAGTCTCTTACTCATATTTTTTCCACTCTGGATGTGAGAATCTTGTTCTCTTGGAGGCTACTCTATCACTTGCCTCAATTCATGATCAATAAAAAATTAGAAGTATAAGCCGTGATTTCTTCCCTTGACTTCTTTTCCAACATGACTGGAGATAGGGTACACCTGAGACACTTAGTGAGCACACAGGTGAGCACAGGAAAATACCAATGAGCCTTGGAAGACTGATCATAATTCAGTAGGTAGGTAGCTTACCATTAACACATTCTGCAAATACATATATTTTAAAATATTTATTTATTTATTTGAAAGGCAGAATTATACAGACACACACACACACACA